ATAAAGTTTGGGGGCCAAATGGCTATTTTTTAAAGTTCCAAACGGTTGAAAATTAAAGGCCAACGGCTAGATTTTAAAATCTGACCGTTGGCTATTTTTTAAAAAAAAATTTTTTTTTTTTAAAAATTAGCCGTTGGAGCCCGTTAGGACCGCTAGGCCCGGTTGAACCGGCCCAGGACCGCCTGCCGGTCCCGGGCTTAGCGGTCCCGATCTCGTGGGCCTCGTGTACAAGACCGGCCCGTCACGGGCTTCCTACCCATTAAGGGACCGGCCCACCAGGACCGGCCCGCCGGGACCGTTTAGCCCGTTAGGACCGCGGGCCCGGTCCGGTCCCGGTCCCAGACCGGCCCACCAAACAGCCTTACATTAGGGTGATTAAAGACATGAATGATGGAACTAAGACTCGGGTTAGGACACTAGGAGGCGACTCCGAGCAGTTTCCGGTTGTTATGGGGTTGCACCAAGGGTCTGCGTTCAGCCCTTTCCTATTTGCCCTGGTGATGGATGCCATAATGCATAATATTCAAGGGGAGGTGCAATGGTGTATGTTATTTGCTGATGATATAGTCCTAATTGACGAGACAAGATGCGGCGTCAACGAGAGGCTAGAGGTTTGGAGACAGGCCCTTGAGTTTAAAGGTTTCAGGTTGAGCAGGACGAAGACGGAATATCTCGAGTGCAAATTTGGGCCCGAGCCGACGGACGCGGGAGTGGAAGTGAGGCTTGACTCCCAAGTCATCCCTCAGAGGGGTAGTTTCAAGTACCTTGGGTCAGTTATTCAGGGGACCGGGGAGATCGACGAGGATGTCACACACCGTATAGGGGTGGGGTGGATGAAGTGGAGGTTAGCAACGGGAGTCCTGTGTGACAAGAAAGTGCCACCGTTACTAAAAGGTAAGTTTTATAGAGCAGTGTTTAGACCAGTCATATTGTATGGGACCGAGTGTTGGCCGGTTAAGAACTCACACATCCAGAAGATGCAAGTAGCGGAGATGAGGATGTTGAGGTAGATGTGTGGGCATACAAGGATGGATAAGATTAGGAATGAAGTTATTCGAGAGAGGGTGGGCGTGGCGCCCATGGAGGACAAGATGCGGGAAGCAAGACTCAGATGGTTCGGGCACATTCAGAGGAGGAGCACTGATGTACCGGTGAGAAGTTGTGAGCGACTGGCGGTGGTGGGCACGAGGAGAGGTAGAGGGAGACCTAAGAAGTATTGGGGAGAGGTGATCAGGCAGGACATGACACGACTTAGTATTACTGAGGACATGGCCCTTGACATGGGATTGTGGAGGTCGAGCATTAAGGTTGTAGGTTAGGGGGAAGTTGGGAATATTTCTACAGCGAGCTAGAGTGAGACTAGATAGTTAGGAGTTAGGCTTAAGATGCTACTGATCAACTACTAATGCAGGGCATTATATTCTAGATATTAGTATACTTTCCTCTTTCTCGTATTTCCTATATTCCTTATATTGTTGTTATTTGTTATTTTATGTTATTTTATGTTATGTTGTCTATTTTATGTTATTTATCATGAGTTTATTGCTAGTACTAATATATCGTCACTTGTTTCTGTCACTTGTTTCCTTCTTGAGCAGAGGGTCTCCTGGAAACAGCCTCTCTGCCCTTCGGAGTAGGGGTAAGGTCTGCGTACATATTACCCTCCCCATACCTCACTTGTGGGAATATACTAGGTTGTTGTTTGTTTGTTTGTTTGTTTGTATACTTTGCTATATGAGGTAAAATTTCCTTTACAAAAATGATCTTGAAAGTGGATGTCTTGAAATTTTTAGGGGTATTACCATGTTTAGCTCGCGCCAAAAATTATTTACATTCAGTAGCCAAAAATATATATAAAATTTGTATAATTTTTGTATATAACATACAAAATGTGTATATATACAAAAAATATATATACTTTTTTGGATATTATTTTGAAAGCGACTATACAATGTCATTTTTTTCTATTTTTAACCCTGATTGTCTTATGGGCAAACTTTCTAAGTTTAAAATGTTTAATCTTGACGTTAAAGGTGGAGCAAGCAGGGCGAAAAGTTTGCCTCGGGGGCAAAAGTTTTAAATTTTGACTTACAAAAGGTTTACCCATAAGGTAAGTGGGGAACAAAATGCAACTACGCATTAGGGGTCATTTGGTTCAAGCATTAGTTAAACAAGGTTTAAGTTATCCGAGTATTAGTTATGCAGGAATTAAGATTATTTTATACATGTATAAAAAAGAACTCTAACTAAACATTGTATAGGTTGTGCAAGATTATCAAACATTGTATTAGTCGTCCAAAAAGTTTTACAGAGACCAAAACACCAACTAAATATTGAAATAAGTTATGCTTAATTTTATACATAATTATCCATGAATTAATATATAAGAAAGGCAAGCCAAACAACCACTTAATTCTTAAAGTATCATATTTCTCCAATTTTTCGCATCAGGAGTAGTTTTAGTTTTAAAAAGTCTTGTATGTAATCTTCGAGTTAAGGAGAAAAAGGTTAGAAAGATATGAGAGCTTCTCTCTCTAAAACTCCAATACTATTTTTCGTTATACTTATTTCCTTCATCAACTAAAACCATATACAACAAACCTACCAAACAACAACCAGCAATGAATGGCTCTACACAAAAATCTGCTTACCGGGAAACAATAAATGAACCACCTGATATAGGTACGACGTAATTGATGATACAAAACCAATCATGCCTTCAATATCTTTCCTTCAAACATTTCTCTCTAACAAACACCCACCAACAACTCCTCATATACAATAGAGTATCAACTATACATTGGATCTATCGGATGAAAGTTTCAACAGCAACCAAGATGAAGACATCTTTATACCAATCACTACTGAAGACAAATGCCGTTTATATACACCATGGAAATAATCAGTAATAGTTAAGGTATTTCGTAGGAAGATAGCACATCAACTATTACAAAACAAGCTTTTTGCCTTATGGATCGGAATCCAGTTGAAGATCTACCTCTAATAGATCTGGGCTCCAACTTTTTCCTCATCAAATTTCAAAAAGAAGAGAACATGCTTAAGGCACTACATGGAGGTCCATGGTTTGTACTAAATCATTTTCTGTCAGTTCGAAAATGGGAGCCAAAATTCATAGCATCATCTACACAACTCACATACTCAGTCATATGGGTTCGTCTACCGAAACTTCCCACCGAATTTTATGACGAGCAAATATTACAAGGGTGGGATCTAAGTTGGGACAGTTATTAAAGGTTGATGCATGCACTTCTTCTACCACTAGGGGAAGGTATGCTCGTATATGTATCGAAGTGCCCTTAGAAAAACCACTCAAAATACACATACTTATAGGACATCACAAGCAGATACTACTCTACGAGGGGCTTAATTTACTATGCACCAAATGTGGGCGCTTTGGTCATGCAAACTTTAATTGCTAATTTATATCACAACATCCACCGGATCAACTTACTAGTAATCACTCTTCGACATCAATAATTAGTATGATGATATATAGATTGTTAAATAAAAACTTTTTATCGGATGAACGGAGTTAAAAAAAGTAAATAATATGTAGATGTCCAACAGAAAAAAAGAGAGAAGGTAGCTAGTATCTTAGGAAATAGGAATGGCAATATAAGGAAAGAAAGTAACTTGAGTCTCAAGCGCAACCCTCCCAAGAACTCAAGGCACTGCTAATATCGTGTAATATGTTGGATGTTTAGTTTTCTAATATAATATCCTTTTCGTTCAAAAAAAAAAAACTTCAATTATAAATTTCCTATTAGACCAAATTGAATATAGTTACCTAAATTAAAAGATTTAAAAACTTGTAAACGGAAAAGAGGAAAATAAGTACGTTATTCTTTAATTTCTTAATTTTCTTCTGTTTAAAAAAATTATTCCTAGAAATTTCCTATTTGGATGAATGAAAGTAAGTTAAAATAAATAAAATGAAATTGAGAAAAAGTTAATTAAGGAAACTATATTTTCAGATTCTTCTTTTAAACCGTGGAGTATTAAGTTAGTTAAAAAAACTAATTAGGAATTATAAAAATTAGGAAATTAAAGAAAGTAACTTAAGTTCCAAGCGTTAACCTTCCGCAAAAGTCAAAACACTTTTCTCTCCTAAAAATTTGTTTCTTAATTTTCGTTGTTGGGATTAAACTGATACAGATATCTATAAATAATCCATTGCATCAATAAGCTTTCGCCATTCGTTTAGGGTTTCTTTTCATACTTCTTTGTCTTCTCACTTGAGAGAACGTTGTAACACTGAAATTTTAATGGGTCGAGCTAAATTTTAAATTCAAGATACTACAGGACCTCTTGAAGTCTGTCAGTATTGGTTGGAGGCTACTCTACCAAAACCCTAGGTCACTCCTATAAAGAGGGTTACATAATCCTTTAAAAAATATCTCAAAAATAGAGATATCTCGAAAATCCCATAAACTTACGAGATATTCACAAAGAGATCAAGAAGTGACCGGATAATTCTTGATAATCAAATACTTCAAGAAGATCCACAACATACTTCATGAATATCAAATAAAACCCGCAACATCCTACGTTCGAGAAACACGATGTTCTAGCCCTCGAATCACGGAGATAATCAGGAGAGAAGAATTAAGGGAACAAACAGAATTGTACCCGCGTCATTTTATCAATAAAACTGTGTTTCTTACTATTTATATTGTGGTTGTAATTTATTTTTGTATTCACAAATAATTTGTTGCAAACAAACGTATTGCGGCAATTACTATTGTCTCATTCTTGTGTTTTATCTATAAGCAAGAAAAAGAGACGTCGATATATATATATTATTTTATAATAGAAAAGGTGGAGTTTGGACGTGGCTGCATAGAGTCTTTTAATGAAAAGCTGAGGGTATTTTAGTCAACTCACGTATTCTCATATAAAGTGGCATCAGCAGCTTCATGAATGTCCACTTTCTTCCTCTTCTCTCAATCTGACTTTCCCAATATTCTCTCTTTGCTTTTCTATCATCTCTACTCCAAAGAGTTATTTTATCTGATTCCTCAGTTTGAACTTGACGTATAAACCCTAAGAGTTGAGGTAAAGAAGCCTTTTAATTCTCTGCATCTTCTTCGTTTCTTCTTATCTTCTTGGCTGGATATTCTAATTTCAGATCTGCTCCTCTTAATTTTTGCCTAAATTTTCTTATCCTTTTTCCCTTCGACGTTTTTGTTGGGTTCTCTTGATACTTCTCATAGTTATGTTATCATTTACTTCTCTCTTTGCTTAATCTCTATTTTCTCGCTTTTAATTTTTCTTTGTTGGAATATTCTTTTTGCTTTATTTATTGAACAATAAAATCTTGGGCGTTGTTAATTAATACTGAATATTTTTACTTTTGGTGTTTGGCAGGCTACTTTTGTTTAGGATTCATTGGCAAAGGCGCATGGGTCATCATTGTTTATGGGTTATTGTACACCCAAAGGTCTCAAGATACTGTATTGAAGTTTGTTACGGGGGATTGATGTGGTTCTTATGCTTGATCTGTTGAAGAAATTTGTCAATGCAGGCAACAAGACTTTGTAGGTATTGCTTTATGCTTTAAAGGCTTTGAATTGAAATTTCATGCTCGATTAGCAAACCCTCACAATAATGAATCAGACTAGGGTAGTTATCTTGGATGGAGACCCACTTAATTAGTATTTGTGATTTTGTGAAACTTATGCTGCTTGAATAACTTTAAGAGCATTGTGAGCTCTCCTTATAATCAAAAGAACCAACACAAAGTGGCTGAGGATTGTAAATTAATATTTTTCATATTGTGCTGTATGAATCAGCCTGGAAATTATTTAGGAGGAAGAAGCAAAGACTTCTATTGTTTCTTTATTTATTTTCATTCTTATTTTGCCTCTTCTGTTGTGCGTCAGATTCTGATGCTAATATTAATATTAGTCAAAATTTCATATACAACATGATTTGTCGTGCGGAGAGATTAAATTGTTCTGGTCATGGATTCACTTATATTCAATCTTCAAGAGTTGCTTAATTTGTGCATTAGAAAAATGTGCATGGAGAAATTATGATGTGCATTAGGAAAATGTCCATGGAGAATTATGATGTTTTCATATCAAATGCTTCTTCAACTATTTTTTACTAAGGATTATTTATGGTTAGTACATGTTTGAGGCAGATTCCTCATAAATTTACAATACACGCACATGCACCATCGTGGGAAGCTGATAAGGATCTTTTTGTTTATTGTTCTTTTTCTCAGAGCAGTTTTGGCGCTCATAGCGAGTTAAAACTTTTTGTGTCCTTAGTAGAAAGCTGTCCTTTTCCTGCTAATAGGCAATCTTTTGGTTACTGCTAAACTTTTGATTGTGTGATATTTACCTACAGATGTAACTGACAACGATGGGAAGAGCTTGGTGCGTTGGAGGTTGCTCCATATGAACTTCATCCTCATGTGAGTTTCGACATGTCTGCTTCACATCATTTAAATCAAAACTGAGGTTAATTTTGACTTTGTGCTAATCTTTATGAGTTGTTGCTCTCTTCCGATGTTACGAATCCTCTTCCAATTTTTGCTCCTAATATTTGTCGCTTTTGCTTTGTGGTTTTTTTTATTCAAAATTCCCCATTTTGATTCCAGCTTCTCTGTCGCATATGTTGTATGCATGTCTATGACAATTTCTTGGTTTTCTTTGTTTGCTGAACTAATTCAGCTTGGTAATCGGACTTCGGTAGGTCTTTGTTAGTTTCTCCTTCCGTTTTTTGGGTTTGTTTCTTGCTGGATTTTATATGTGTATTCAGTAGTTGTATCTTATTTGATGTTTGAAAATAGATATATAGATGCATGTTTGTGATATGCTATTATTTCCGATTTTAGTTATGTAAGTTTGCTTTGAGAGTTGATGGCTTCTTCGAGGATGAACTTCGTAGTAAAATTGTGATTCTATTTTTTCTTGTAATCTTGAAGTCTTTCTGCTTATGTAGTTGTTTGTAAACATATATTTTTTGTCCCCCTTTAGTGGATATTTGATATTTGATCCATACATAAATGAAAATTTTCTTCCTTTTCATATTTCTTTGTGTATTCGGCGCATGAATGTGATTATTGTTCAAAAGAAGTACTGGAACTTAGAAGAACTTTTTGGTGTAGTTAACGCGTTTGACAAATTGGCTGAAATAATTGAATTTTTTATCCTTCTCTGTTTTCCATAGGGTATTCTGCAATATACACCTCTGTCATTCATTAAGCCAAAAGGTACATTGTTTACTACAATATCAGTAAACAATATATTATGTGTTGTGTGTATATGTCAGTCGTGTAAAATTATTCTTTTGAGACATATTCTATTTGCTTCCCGTTTATATCTATTGCAATATTGTTACTATTTGTTAACTATATCAACAACAAATTAGATGTAACTTATCGCCACTTCAAAATGTACTAAATTATAAATAATTTGGCAAAAGTTATAAGCTTTTAGATCAGAAATCTATATACAAATACACTATGGATTGAATACCTAGATCTCAAAAGAAGACGCAACGACGGCTCTCTCAATACATGCTCGTAGGAGCTTCAAGTGTCTTTTATCATGTTAATGTACTAACTAGGACAGGTTCTGTTTGTGGTATACCTGGTTTTCTCATCATCTATGTAGATATTATTAGTGGTTGATGTTTTTGAATGAATTAACCAACAGTAGAAAGTGGAAAACAAATTAAAGTGAATGAATCAGAACCAGAGAAGAGAGAGTAGTGGTGCTTGTAACAGGATAGGCTTGCTGGTACCAGCTTCCTAAAAGAGATATTGCTTTCTTCTTTTATTAGAGTTCAAATGCTTGGGGAATACTTATAATAGACTCTGATGGTATATATTATCATCGGATTTGATAGCATTGTCTAGCAAAGCTTTACCGACGAAACTTGCTACAAAGATGACTGTGAAGGTGTGGAGTAGGTTAACAAGTTTCAAAGTGTCAATCAGTTAAGTTAATTACTCAAATCCATATGATAACTTACACTCTTCAACCCTTAGGTCGGAGTTTGATGGAATACTAGAAAATCCCTCCCTTTATAGTTTTTGCTACGTAAAAAGGGCTTTAGTAGCCTCCCATGTCTTTTAATACTAAAATGTGAAATAAATATTATATTTATGAGAGCAAGATAAAAGTATCATAAATAGGTAAAATCTCTTTACTAAAAGAGCTAGACATGAAGCCAGAGTAATTAACTTGGCATCAAATTTGCGGGGAGCTCTATATGCTTTGAGATACTGATGATTATGTAATTTTACCTGTATAATATGTGACAGATGAAAAATGACTTAACATTACATATGAAATCACCAATACAAAATTATGTTACTAAATAACATTAAATATTCTAGAAGCTTCTAAGCATTGGCTTCAAAAGTTGTGCTACAATTTTTTGTGGTACCTTGAGTTGTTCTAAGGAGTTGGTCAGTCATTCTTTTCTTTTTCTATATGAATTTTATTGGCAATCAAGTAAATATTCAATTCAACCATGTTTTCCATAATTCAAGTCAACTTAATTGTCTATCTTTTAAATGCAGGTGTTGATTGACTAGATTTAATGGCTGTGGTTGACTTCTTTATCAGCATATAGCAGAAGTGCCTAAATTAGTTGGGATGGAGAAGGGCTATAGTGTTTTCTTCATGGTTGATGATATTGAAGCATAAGTTTAAAGGTCTGCATAAGATTATTAAGGATGTACTTGAAGATAATTAAGGTGTCGTTTCTGATCGTATCAGGATCTTAGTGTTGTTTTATTATTGCTACAAAATCTCTAAATGGTTCTGGCATATATATATATATATATATATATATATATATATATATATATATATATATATATATATATGTCTAGCAAAAAGATAATAGAGAACCCACACAATGCCATCATGAATAAGCTCAGGCAATTCTACCGTTCATGAAAAATATGATATGCCTATCGAGGATTATTCCTGTTGCTGCTTGAGACTACTTTTCTCACCTTAGCGTTCAGCCTTGATTGTCGAACGCCTATGTGAATAGGATTATATGATTCTGAAATTAGTTAAATTTTTTATGAGGACCTAGAGACGCTGATGTAGTTCCTTTAATTTTTGCTCTCATGTTAGCACATTGTGAAGTGACGACACAAACATGTGTGATAATATATTTTTGTGCCTTTTTATAAATAAAATAATGTATGTTTGTCAAAACAAACAATAATGTTCTTTAGGAAGAAGTGAAAAGGAATATCAGGAGAAAAATATGCAGAATGAATTGATGTATTTATTAGTTGGTAAGTCTAAGCTCTCCCCTATAGATCTTAGAGTGTAGCATGCACTGGGCAAGGATATTTTTCAACATTAAATGCTTATTTTGCTGTCATTAAATCAGGTAGGTTGTGTTTTATTTTGCTTCGTATCTGTTGCTCCGCTTATATCACCAGATATTTAAGTTGATAATTAATATTTTCTCGCATGAATTGAAATGTTTAAGCTGTATCGTTGGGCCTGTGTTGGTCAAGGGCCATAAAATAAACTTGTATCTGCTAATTTTCTTAAAAGAAAACAAAAATATTAGCCTTAAGTTTAAGGTGGCACTTACAATAGATTTTTATTTTACACATAAGAAATGTAAAATAAAATATAACATAACTTTGTAGACCTTATTCATGAGACACCTTCCCGTACTGAACTCTTTTTAAAAGAAATTCCTTCTAAAGAGAAAGATAAAAATTGTCTAATTATTACTCGAGCACAGAAAAATTCAAGTTAGCTGTCAGTGGCTGACTGTTCAAAGATAGCTAACAGAGTACATTATTACTAATCTCACTGGATGTTTTATTTCTCCCCCTTACTTTTTTGACAATTAGCCAAACTTACCAAGTGTGTGCAATGCACACGCGGCTGACGTGGCGAATGACAATAAAAAAAGAGCATATACCCAATCAGAAAATGACATTCTCAAAAAGAAAAAAAAACTTTAATTTATACCCAATCAGAAAATGACAAATTATTAACAAAAGAAAAGAAAAAAAGGGCACATTGGTGTTCTTGGTGTTCTTCACTATCTTTATGTCTATTATTGTTCCAACCACGATTTTAATCCAAAATTTTAAAAGAAACTTCTCCAAATTTGTTATAACTTCAACTAAATAATCTCTACAAAGACTTGAAGACAACCCCAATATTAATTTCTCAATTTTTCATCAAATCAAGTAACCCATTTTAAACTTTCAAGCTTTCTTAAAGACCCCATTAATGGTGTTCTTGGTGTTCTTCACTATCTTTATGTCTATTATTGTTCCAACCATGATTTTAATCCAAAATTTCAAGAGAAACTTCTCCAAATTTGTTATAACTTCAACAAAAGATTCCCTACCAAAACTTGAAGACAACCCCAATATTAATTTCTCAATTTTTTATCAAATCAAGTAACCCATTTTAAACTTTCAAGCTTTCTTAAAGACCCCATTAATGGTGTTTTGACTTCAAATGAAGAATATGGTCCTACTTCGGTTTCAATCAACTGAGATGGTTGTTGGTTCAAACTTTCGAGCTAAATTAATGGTGGAGGCACAACAATGGTGAAAGTGGGGGATACAATGGTGGAGAGAAAAGAAGAAGAAGAAGAAAGAAAATGAAAAAAATGAAGATAAAATTTATTTTTTGGGCTCTTCACGCGCCAATTTTGGGTGAAGCTCACTTTATGTGCCAACTCAGCAAAAAGTGTCTAATTGGAACAAGTTTAGTGTAGTATAAGTGCTCAATAGGAACAACCTTCAGTTTAGGTGTCTAAATGAAAGATGGTGTCAATTTTAAGTGTCTCAAGATGTATTACGCCTTTAAAAAAATATTACGCACATGGAAGAGATAACGGGCACATAACCATTTAAAACTGATAGTCATAATAACATAAATATAACCAAATCTAAGCTTTACCACAGTGAGACAAAACTGATGCATACCATCTGCTTCACTTGAACCAATTATACACTTTAAATACTTTCAAATCCGACCATAGCTAACATAATACACTCAATAATTAAATTCGTATCAGGAAAAAATTAATTAAATACGTAATTGTAACCATACTCGTAGGCAATTTCACCGTTATTTGTGCTACAGATTTACTACACAACAAAATTCTATTTTTGCTGCATGGGTAGAGAGAGTAAAGCCTCCCATCTTCATAATTCTCCAGTCTTCACTACACTACACTGTATGTAACCGCAGCTAATTCTTCTATTAAAACTGCAGAAAAGAGGCTCCCCTAACTACAGAGCCAAAACAAGAACATGGCAAGAAAATTCACTGATTATCGACCAAGGAATCTTGCAACTGCTAGAACAGAACGGAAGTATTCCTTCTTTAAAATGTCAAAGCTCGCAAATCAGTTAGCTTCCAATCTACACGGTTGTCTTTTTCGTGGGTTTGTTACCCTTACTTTTACCACCCTTCTTTTTCTGCATACCGCCACGTTTGTGGTCCTCCGATCTTCTATGGGGATCTACTTCCTAGAATTTGATAGGCTTTATGATAATACCATTCCTTTTTACCACCTGTGAGAATTATAACACAAGCAAAGAAAACATCAAACAACTTCCAGATCACAGCTACAAAAACAACCCCTCCTCTCACCAAAATAGGGTAGTAACAATGAAAAATCTTATGACCAAAAAAGGGAAAGGGCTAAGAAAAGGAATATATTTCATCCAACTGGATTTTAACATTTCAGATAACAGGCATTGACCCTTTGTCACTCTTTTTTCCTTATACTTCTGGAAACAACAAGGATATGGAAAAATAGGCAAAACAAAAGTTAGATAGTATGATGGAGGACGAACCTCTGGGCGAGTAAGAGCTCCAACTGTTGTTACGGGGTTGAATTCAGGTCCAATGGGCATCCGAATGCTCTGCTCAAAAACTTCTTGGGAAGTAAAGGGATAAGGTAACGTTGGCGTGTGTAGCTTCTCAGCCTGCACGGAAAAATAGAAATTAGAAATTGAGTCAATCGCAGTAAAAGTTGGACAATTTGAGCAAAGACAAGCAACACTGAAGACATAGCCTTCTGTATATGTAACAAACACAGAAGTTGTCTAAGCATGCATCTGTTGAACAGGCTTGAGACAAGTGTAGGGAACCTGAAGAAGAATTTGTTGTTGTGGCTAAACAATGAAAAAAACCTAACTGAAGTTTCAATGAGTGTCTGAAAATTTCCAGCACAGACAGCATGATCTACATAAATTTAAGAATAGTGTTTCCAAAAAGAAAGCAGGTCCATAACCTTTCCTGTAAATGAACGACGGTGAAGTTGAAACTCTCTACTGCTTTCTGCCATTGTCTGTTCTTTTTTTTCTTTTTTTATTTTTTTACTTTTGTTTGATTAGCAATCCAACTTCTCTTTAACTGCTAACCTTGACTGTCACAGAAGGTGATTTTAATTTTCACTAATTTTTTTGATAACCAAAATGATTTTATTTTCAAAAAATTTAATGCCAAGGGAAAAGGAAAACACAATAAATTTTTTCCATGCATGCACATAAGTATGCAATCACAATAAGTAAAGCTTAGGTTTAGCCTCAACATCTAAAATCTAAACAGACATCAATCACGAGAATGTTTATTCTTAAATCAGGTTAAGGATGAAATACGTTTATGACCAACCTTCTTATCCCTCTTTTCGGAGATAATAACATGATTCAAATTTGCATCTTTTCTGTTCTTGAGAGCTTCTTCCCTTTTCTTTTTGGCAATATCATGTTCTGCAAGCATCCAAGAAGGTGGACCTCTCTTCTTTTGTATATTGGTCCATTGGCCCCAACCAGGCAGTAAAGGGGGTTTTTCAGGCTCGGGAACTTCCTCATTCAAGGCATCTTGTTTTTCTCTCTCAAAGTCGTCTTCAACATCATCACCAGCAAAAGCACGCCGAATAAGTTCTTCCTGAGATGGGATTTTATATGTGGACTTGGTCCCAGCAGATAAAATCCCATCAACCATTTCTCCTCCGCTATCTGTATCATTATCCTCATCAATTTCCTGCAAGCAGAATTAAGAGTCAATAATAACAAACGAATTCTTTGTGTTTTGCACCCCTTATGTGTGCTCTTTTTTTATTTACACCCTAGCCTTTCTTTTTTAATTTGCACCATAATCTCCCTATTTCTTTGTAAAATAATTAAAACACTCTTTTCTTAATTATCCACGGGGGGGTGATCGGAAAAAAAAAATATTACATATTGGGCAGGAACCACATCTGCCAGAGACAGCATATGCAGTAAACTATCTGAAGAAATCTAGAGGTCCCAAGATAAAATTCTTGAGCACTTCCACCATAAACAATTCTTGAGGATTTTTTTTCATAACAAGACAAATCAGGTACCGACCAAGCTAATGTAACTCAACTTCGAAGAGGAAACAACATTTCGTTAAAGTTCTCTGTCTTGTTTCTTTTCATTAATTATTATTCACATTTTGTTGAATTGGTGTTTGCTAATGCCACATTCTTTTGCACAGCTTTGAAACCTTTTGTGCTTTAGCAAGTGCAATTGCAAAAGGGGCCTATTCGATTTGCAACAGTTCAGAAAATATATTTACATTTCTCCTATTTTACAAAATAGACATTGAAGTACAAAATAAAGCAGTTGTAAAGAGGCTTGCTCCAATTTTCTCCCTATTTTTGCAGATGTTACAATCTGCTAATTTAACATTGATGACGTTGAAGCAGAAAATAAGGCAGATTTTTTTTATCATATCACAAAGAAAATAGAAAGAGAAAAAGTAA